GTGCGCTTGTTTTCGTCTTTACAGCAGCAGGATTTGCTTTATGTTTTTCTTAAATAAAATCTAGGCTGACAGGAAATGAGGGCTATCCTGGACTACCTATATCAACTGATAGGCCTTTTCATTTAATGCACCTTTACTAGTGTTTATAATCTGGCTTTAGATGTTTTGTATAATCTAATTTAGGTGAAACAAATGAAGCCACATTGATGACTGAATTATTTTAAAGCTATGCTAAATGTTGCATACAGACAACTAGCTCAGGAAAATATCTCTGCTTGCTGTTTTAGGTTTAAATAAGAAGTTTTTACAATCTAGGCTGCAGAAAACTTAGAAATGTTAAGAAAAATATTTTCACAAATTTTAATGCACACTTTAAAAAAAAACAATGTAGGCTTCATGGTACAACATCGGCAGCCTTTTCAGGCATTTTCTTCTTTCACAGCATATCTGGCTTTAAAGCCAACAATAGTGTCTTGTTTTAACAGAAGGAAACAACCATCCATCAGCTTATTGCTGTGGTGGCCTCATGGAGGGGGCCATCGGCTTTCATTCTCCCTCTCCTGATAATAACATTTTGCTTTCTTTGACATTGAATGTGCTACTACTAGTTTACTCCTTTAATTATTGATTCACTAGGATAAATCAGGATAAATACAATAAAGTTTATCTCTCACCAAACAGAATGTTTACCAAGAAATCCCAATGTAACCATAGAAACATTGGTATATATGTTTGTGTGTGTGTGTGTGTGTGTGTGTGTCTGCTCTGTCTTCTTGATCCCCAGTGAGTCGTGGTGGATGGCTGCTTATACTGAGCCAGGATCCTCTGGAGGTTTCTTCCTGTTAAAAGGGAGTTTTCCTCTCCACTCTCACTAAATGCTTGCTTAGTATGAGGATTGCTGTAAAGTCACTGACACTAGTCAGTGACTTGATGCAATTTGCTGGGTTCCTTATATAGGAAACTTTTTTCCGTCGCGCGTCTAGGCGGTACCGTAGGAGGCGAGCTGCCATGGTTCGCCGCATGCTACAGCAGCGGGCTATCTAGGTGCGCACAGTGTCACCCGGTAACCCCCCCCCCCCCCCCCCCCCCACCCCCTGTCCAGAACTCTACCTCACCAGTCTGAAGCAGCCACCCTGTCCGTAACGTTATCCAGATGTTTGTATTCAGACACAAAGGTCTTACGGACAGAGTCCGGAACATTTCCGTTTTTCATGGCCTGTCTGAAGGGGGCTCTAGATACGGAAGTTCTGACATCGCATTCACACATAGGTTTCATACATCATATCTAGTTCCATCCATCACAGTAAAATGTTAGTTAACTTGTTATGTTTTAATTGTTGGTAAAATAAATTCTTACTTTTATAAACCTGACTGTTTTCTGAATCAAAACAAAGTGTATACAATCCCTTAATAAATAAAGAATCATAGAACCTTCTGATAAAAACAGTAAAGACCAAGCAGGGTTGATATTCTATATTTAGATAGAGTATCACAGCTTATTGGTCATAAGTAGAGGTAATATATATATTGAGCTCTTAAAGCACCCAATTTACCAAACCCTACACGTGCTTATTTTTCAGCGACCTGTCCTCCTGATGAGCACGAGGAGCTCATTTGTCACCGAGCAGCTCACTCCATTAAGGATGCGCATCGTTAGCTGGGAACAACAGGGCCTTGTTTCACAGCCGAATGATCCTCTCAGCATGGGATCAAACGCTTGATTAAAAACTAAAACACCCAGTGGAAATCTTACAAATGATGAATAGCTGAGCTCAGAGGGAGTTAATACCATTTGGGTGCAAGTGGTGCCAAGAAGCACGTGCCGGACGACATAAATTAGTTGGACGGCCAGCACAAAACATGCTTGCACACAAATTTAATACAAAATGTGTTTAATTTGTGGTGAATATAAAACCCACAGCTTATTTCAGCTTTTTTTCTAGGAGGAATTTTACAGTTCATTTATTTCAGGATGACTGCAGATGACATTTTTCTCTCTACTATTTAATTTTTAATCAACTTCTTTTAGAAAACAATCCTTTCTCTACTTCAGCTGAAGGATGCAAAACAGTTTTTGTAGACAGAAGTTTGCAAAATTTCCCTCCAACTTGGCTCAACTTATATAAAGTAGTGAGTCTCTTCCTTTCCTACATATTTTATGAGGAACTAAGGTGGTGTGCAAGTTCTCCATTGTCTTGTGGATGCTTATGGTTTGGATTTGTGAGTTGCAAATTTGAATATATCCAGTGCCACTTTAGAAGGTTTCAGTTTCCAGTTTTACCCTTATCCTTGGGTGGGCTAGTGCACGAGAAAATATTTCTTTCCCATCTTTGCTGACGTGATAAGGACGGTGATTTAGATTATAACATGATGTTTTTCAGCTGATGGACATTCATGCATACCTGGTTATTCTTGTTTCATGCATATGATTATTAATCAACAGGTTGAGCGGGTTGTCCAGTAATTGGAAGGTTGCAGGTTCGATCCCGGCTCCGGACAGAGAATTCTGCTGTTGTGTCCTTGGGCAAGACACTTAACCCACCTTCCTGCTGGTGGTGTTCGGAGGGACTGGTGGCGCCTGTGCTCGGCAGCCTCACCTCTGTCAGTGTACCCCAGGGCAGCTGTAGCTACATTGTAGCTCATCACCATCAGTGTGTGAATGTGTGTGTGAATGGATGAATGATACACTGTGGTGTAAAGCGCTTTGGAGTCCTTACTCTGAAAGGGACTATACAAGTGCGGGTCAGTTATTAATTATCATTATTTTATTTTTGTCAAACTTCTCACTAGTTGATGACAAATGCATCGCAAGGCACTGCTGGGCCCCACTTCTGATGTAAACCATGATATGAAGTTAAAACGATTTAAAACTAACATTTTTACATTCAAGGTGGTGCCAACCATCCATTTGCCTATTTATCCATCCATCCGTCCATCCATCCACCTATACTAAACTATTGAAGCTATGTACTGTAGGTCCTGGCTAAATTTGGTAAGAGCTGGGAACACCCTGGGTGCTGGTCACTCACCATCCCGCATAGAGTAGAAATTTGACAGACACACACATACACACACACACACACACACACACACACACACACACACACACACACACACACACACACACACACACACACACACACACACACACAGTTTGATGGAGGGATTTCTATCCAGTCAGTGAGAACAGGACGTGCACATTGATTGGATGAGGTTTTTCTACGACTGTACGTCTAAATTGTGATTAAAATTATTCTCTATTTTGAGAAAAAAAGTATATTTTTAGCTCCCATCAGCATGTGATGTTCTCAATGTTTTCATGACAAAACTCTAACATGAGATTGTGCTCTAACCTGTCACATAACACAACAAGCTAAATAAAATTCAAACATTTCAAATGGACCGTATGACAGCTGCTAACATTGGCCCTGCCCTACTTTACCTCTACATTACAGTTCCTTTATTCATGTCTATCCTAGAGCTCCTTTCTGACCTTCATGCTTATTTAGAGCAGCTGATTTTTAGAGTTAGAGTTCATCCTTGGTAGTGGGTTCACTCACTCATTTAACCCTTCACCACAGGAATCAGTGTGTTCATTCCAATCCTCCTAAATAATCTTCCAATCATCCAGCTGGAATCCTTAAGGGTCCCGTAACGTCCATCCTGTCAAAACAGGCCTTGGGAGCCCAGGTGTTACTAGAACTAATGGTGTCTCCTCACCAGCGTGAGCCTCCAAACTGTGAAGGTTGGTCTCCAAACATGAACTTTAAAATCAAGCATTTATCTCCTCTTGTAGCACTTTAACATGTTTTAAAAGGCTTGTGTCATGATAAGTTACACCTCCCAGACCACAGATAGGTACAATATAAGATAAAACATTATCTTAGACACGATTGAGACATCATTATTTATGAAATACAAGTTAGTTGTTCACCATTACTTCAACCTAGAAATAAGATGCATGGATTTGATGAAACCAGCGTCTCATGCAGTCCTATATGTGTAAACACACACACACACACACACACACACACACACACACACACACACACACACACACACACACACACACACACACACACACACACACACACACACACACACACACACACACACACACACACACACACCACCACCACCACCACCACCACCACGGTTTAGATGCGGCGCTCATGCAATATTTTTAATTCATCAAGCTACAATTTATTTTTACTCAGTAACGGATATGATTTAAAATGTAGCGAATTACAATTCATAAAAAAACATTCAAGTAAAAGTAAAAGTACATATTTTGAAAACGACTTAAAAAGTATTAATACACAAAAAAAGTAACGTGAGTAAATTCAATTCGTTACTTTCTTCCTCTGCTCACTTGTAAACGAGATGCTTAATCTCAAGTGGTTTTATCCTCCTTAAATATAAGTCAAGAAACAAATAAAAAATTATGCGCATATTTCATTGATAATAATGCAAATTTAGAGTGGCACACACTTTTTTTGCAAAGTTATTCACCATCGTAAAACGGATTTACGTGGGGAGAGAACCCTAGTGAAATCAGTTAACTAATCAGGGAGAGGAAGGTGAGCTGAGGAGGGGAAAATAACATGAGCTAAGAATAAAAACAAAACCTAAAGACAAGAAGAGCAAGATAAATAAATAATGATCTAAGGAGGGAGGAGAACTAAAAAACCAGTGGGGAAAGAAACACACTAAAAGAGATTAATTAAATGAAAAGCTGAACCTATAGAAAAACTACAGAGGGGTGACTAGGGGAGACCAACGGGAGCACAGGACCAGGGGGGGGAGAGAAGAACCCGGAGGAGCTGCAGACACATAAAGGAGATGACTGCATGTGTTCTATATGACATCATCAAAGACTCATCAGTCAGTAGTAGTAACCACAGCTCACTGTTAACACACGTGTGACACAGCTCTCGTGAGAATCATCGCGTTTTTGACTTTATCTCTCAAACAAGAAAATTTAACACAAAGACCCAGAAATGTCTGGAAACAACGTCTCTAGTGAAACAAAACTGTCTTGGTATGAGATGTGCCTTGAAGATCCAGAAGTGGATTACAATCTGAAAATAAATTTTGATTCTGACGGAGACGACCAAGAAAGCTCCGAACATGATTTGAAACCACTAGAAAAAACTCCTGGATCTGGAAAAGTCCAGCAGGAATCAGCTGCTTGTGAAAAACATGAACACATGGAACAACTTTTAAGGCAGGTGAGTGAACTCGAAAACCATCTGAGATGTGCAAACGAGTCTCTGAGAACCGAGAAGAAAAACAGAATTAAGGCTGAGTCTGACTGTGCTTTTTACAAGAGAGAAATTAATGAACTGGAACAAGGACTGGATACCAGAAAAAATCAGAGACCCGTGAAGAAAACGTGAGAACTTTAAATATTCAACTTAAGGAAAAAGATGATTTATGCGAAGTTCTCCAAAAGCGTTTAAAACAGGAATATCAGATCAGACTCCACCAAAGACTGAAGATTTTTGAGAAAGACACAAGTAACGAGAACTTAAAGAAAGAAATCAGTAAACTGAAAGAGGGACTGGGTTTCCATCAAAGTGAGGCAGAAACCCAGTACAAAAGAATTATGGCTTTAGAAATTCAGCTGCAGATAAAGGAAGGTGTCTGTGCAGATCTCCAAAAGCGTTTAGAGGACGAGCCCGAGCTCAGGCGCCAGCTAGAAGACGAACAGAACTGTTTCTACAAAGAGTTAAACAATCAGAACTTCAAGAAGCAAATTGGAGAATTAGAGAAAGAAAACACAGATCTTAAAGCCAAGATGGAGAATTTTTACTCCATGAAGAAGACATTGGATGAGGTGTCTGCACAGCTGGAGGAGAAATCTTCTCTCTGTGTAAAACTGGAAGAATGTTTTAACAAAGAAAAGCAGCTGAGAGTCGAGTTAGAGAAAAAACTGCAGAAAAAAGACACCAGTAAGGAGAAATTACTGATAGAAATTAATGAATTAGAGCAGGGACTGGATTATTATCAGGATATCGCAGAAACCAGACTAAACAGACTGCAGACTTTACAGAATGAGCTGCAGAAAAAGGAAAGTCTCTGTGAAGATCTGCAGGAACGTTTAAACCAGCAGAGCCTGCAGTTAGAGCAAGAATTACAGAACAGTCACAACAAAGACTCAGTTCATCAGAGTTTAGAAAAAGAAATTGGAGATCTGCAGGAGAAGAATGGAGACCTCATGAGCAAGTTACAGACTATGGAGGACACAGAGACCAGACTCTATAGGGCAATCACAAACCTTCAGCTGGAGAAACTCAGAATTAATGAGCAGCATGAAGAAGAGCTTGAAGCCCTGAGACTGCAGCTCCAAGACCGTCTCTGCTCTGAGCTCCAGGCTGCTTCTGAAGGGAGTTCACCAGAACCACACACACCTGTGGAGAGTCTGGAGACAGATCCTACTCAGGATTGTCAGACGGACACAGACGTTTGTCCTCCGACTGAAATCTGTCATGAGTCAGAACTGGTTGGATCTGTAAGTCTCCATGATGACGACTGTCCACCTAAAGAGGACCGTCCACAGACAGTCAGACACCAGAAGAGTGTTTCTATGTGGAGACGCTTTAAAAAGTTTATGACTCCGGCGTGCCGACGGAAACACAAAACCACGTCATAAACAGATCATGTGACTGGTTGAACCCCCCCCAGAACACACACAGCCAGAGGAAAAAAACGGGGCTGCATGTTGGAGACGATGTAGAAAGTTTAGCTTCACAGCGAGGTCACCGGTTCAAATCCTTCCCATGTGAAGTTAGAATTTTCTCCCTCATGTATGCGTGGGTTTTCTCCAGGTGCTCCGGTTCCCCCCACACGTCTCTGGCTGTGTGTGAGTGAGTGAATGAGTGAGTGAGTGAGTGAATGTGTGAATGTGTGAATGCGTGAGTGAGTGAGTGAGTGAGTGAGTGAGTGAGTGAGTGAGTGAATGCGTGAGTGAGTGAGTGAGTTAGGGCTGGGCGATATCACCCAAAGTCAATATAACGGTATAAAGAGGATTTCACCTAGATAACGATACATGGATGATAGCTACAGGCATGCGCAGAAACAAAAGTTGTCACATGATTTACGCTGAGTCAATGGCCGTGTTCGAGTTGAGCAGCGCCTCGCCTGGAAAAGAGACGAGAGCAGACGGACGCAGCAGGGGGAGTGGCTGAAAGCCGGCGTTTAAGTGGGACAGATTTCCCTACATGTGTAGCTCGCGGGTGACGATGGGTGAAGATGTCGTGTTAGAATTCATACTTGTTTAATTTTTTATTTTAATTCTGGTGCCTGTTAGCAACTGAAACACATCCTCACATGCTTGTGGATGTCATATGTTGTAGACATGTGCACATGAAGACATAACTGTTGTCAAAAGTAAAGCTTATCAGCTGTAGTTTTAGTGTGCTCATAGGAAACGTGACAAAAGAAGACAAAACACATGTGACCAACTAACATTTCGCATTCTACCACCGGATGTTTGGATCAAGATGGGAACCAATCAGATCTTAGATCAGGTGAGCGCCAGACGTTTCCCATCATCAACCGGTGGAGAGCAACTGCAGAATTTTGCTCCAAAATCTGCGGCCGCCTTGATCTCACGATGCCTACGTAGGCATGCCGTAAGAGCAAGTCGGACACAAATCTAACCAGCATGCACTGCCCGCCGATCACCGGTGATCTAATCTGCGTGGAACTGGCTCATCTTGAACACGGCCATTTTTACGTGACTCAAAGCTTCTTAAAGGGACATGAACGTCGCCAACCATCACACATATTTTCTTTTTTTTAATGATAAAATTTATTGACGTGGCAAAATGATCTCGATAAGAGTCAGACATTTTGATCACAATGCATTTTTTATTTATTGCCCAGCCCTAGAGTGAGTGAGTGAGTGAGTGAGTGAGTGAGTGAGTGCATCCCATCCGCTGAATCACCACCTTAACGCGGTGGCTGGGTTTGTGCATCTCTATGAAGGCTGAAGGCTGTTGTGTCGGGGTCTCGGCTCCAGGTGAGTCTACCCTGGCAGAGCTTTCTCAGCTGAGAGGTCAGACTAAGAGTGATTCAAATACTTATTTTATAGAAAACCATGAAAAGATGCTTTTGTCACACTTCACACCCACTTAGGTGTTGGCATTCACAGTTTTCCTGGGGCTTTTTAGTGATTGTGCTGCAGAAAAATCAATAATTTTCAAAAAACATTGAATCTTTCTCATTTTGGGTGTGTGCTAGGTCTGCACAATTAATCGTGATCTCAATTCAAAATGACAACGATTTTAAGCAGCTGACTAGATAAAAAAGGACTGTGTTCTCTGTTCTGGTCCTGCCATGGTCATCAACAATCATGTTGTCATTTTAAATGTTATATGTTGTTAAAAACCGTGGTTTGCATTTTAAGAAACATGCCTATTACCTACCTCTCTCATCATCAGTGTTTAACTTATTCAAAAGCTGTGTACTTAACCCTCTTTACTTTAACCCTCTCAGGCTCAAAATAAGTTTTGATAAAAGGACGAACAACTAAGTCCTTCAGGGGTACTTCTGAGTTAAAAATGCTCATGAAATACGTGTGTGGAGTAACCAGGTAGGTAGGTTTTAACACCTGCCTCCAGAGGGTTAAGAGACAATGAGAGACATTTATTGTTTTCATGTTCAGCGACAGCTGTTATAAAGTTGATGTGCATGTAATCAGTGTAATAAACACTTAATCTGGAAAGAAATCATGAGAGAATTGAGATCTCACTTCTAAGCAAAATCCTGATTCTCATTTTAACCAGAATTGTGCAGCCCTAGTATGCGCATGTCTCAATCTGCCTAGCCAGCTAAAACACTTATGTACGTGACGCCAATTACACTTCTCCACCAGAGAAAATGATCTCTTGATTAGAATTGTGCATCCCCACAAATGTTACATAGTATCTTGATTTTGGGCCTCTATAGCCTCATTCTTGTGCTGGCGGGCAGGTCCCCTTTCACTGTTCTGGAAGGTGATTAGTCTCGGGTTCACTTTTTTGCAATCAAAGACTTTCCATCTTTCAACTCTCAAGATGATGCCGTGCATGACGAGGTGCTTTTTTAAATAGCTGCTATTCCTGATTTTTGCTGCACAAATTTTCTCGCTGGTGGTGCATTTAGCCGCAGCATTTTTTAGCATTTCATTTGCGAACTGCAGAGAAGTGTTGTTGAAAGGAGACGCGTCTCCTCCACTCATAATGTGACTTGGGTTCAGTCATGTGACCCGCGGTCGCACATTGGGACATTTTAATACTTTTATTCTGATATCGGTACCCAGTGTTGGGCAAGTTACTTCAAAAGTGTAATGCATTATTTATTACTTGTTACCCCTCATTTTAAAGTAATGCATTACATTACACTATTGCTGATTTTAAAATGTAAGGCATTACACTACTTCTGCATTACTTTAAGTTACTTTCACCAAAACAACTTCAATATGAATCTAGTAATCTGGCGCTCAGTGAGCTCATGACATATATGTGGAAAGTGATGTGGTGTCTGAGCTAGGATTGCTGTTAAAAACAGTCAGACATAATAACAGTGCTTTAAAATGATTGTTTACTAAACAAAAACAACAACAATCTGTACTCTCAGCATTCTGCCATCTTATATTAACTGAGCAGGGAGTGAGGTGGTGGGGGCTCCAAGCCTATATTTGCCTTGGTCCCCAAATGGCTTGATACGGCCCTGGATGTGGGACTGACTTCTGGGGAGATCTGATTCTATCACATGTATAAATATTAAATGCTTATATATTATTGCTTTTCACTGGTAAAAATGTGTACTGGGGATAAATCTACCTACTTTTTTCTTTTTTCTTGATTTTATTTGAATAATTTCCTGCCCTTTCTCTCTCCAACCTTCCTGCATGCTGCAAGTTTTCTCCGTCTTCCAGAAAAAACTGTTTCCTAGACTTCCTACTTTCTAACTATCAGCCAAAGGGATCTTCACATGCGCGGCGCACCAGCAGTAATGAGTTGAAATCACCAGGGCACAGATTATGAACTCAGCTGAGGCAAAGCACGTCAGAAAAGCTCAAAGTATCAGAGAATATGCGCTGATATGAACGATCGCAAGTGAATTATTTTGTTTTAGTGGAGCGATTTTGTGAATGTTGTAGCGGCCGTGTGCAGGATGCAGCTGGAGTATTTGAGCCGTTACCTCTGCGTCCTCTCAGCCCGCAAAGCTGAGTCCATAAATGACGTAATATATGCAGATACTGGATCTTTCTTCGGGTTTCCCGCAATTTGAATTTTTTAAGGAACACATCTTGATTCTGGGTTTAAAAATGCGTTGTAATTACCGCGTTACTGACAATTGTACCAAGTAAATATTACCATTTTCTTTCCCTGTAATGCCTTACATTACCACATTACAGCAAAAAGCAATGCATTACAGTAATTAATTACTTTTGTACCGCATTACTCCCAACACTGTCGGTACCTACCAAATGTTTTCACTCAGTCTCAAAGAGGCCCAGAGTTCTGGCACCCAGCCCTGGGCGTCAGCAGGGGCGGACTAGCCATCTGTGGATTCTGGAGAATCATAGAAAGGCCGGTACTCCAAGAAGGCCGACGGACCGATCAACTACTCTTCTTGCACGCTGTCATCCCCCCCCCCCCCCCCCGTTTCCTTCCTCCTCTTGTCTCCTGTCTCCTTCCTCCTCTTGACTCCTGTTTCTTTCCTTTTCTTGTCTCCTCTCTTGCCTTCAGAAAAACTGCCTTCTATTAGTAGATTCATTTACAATGTCATCAAAGTCCAGATTCCTGACAAGCTGAAATTCAATAGCCATCAGTGACAGTGCACTGAGGCGTTGTTGACTTTGTGTTGTTCTCAGTTCATTTTTTATTCTTGCCATTTGTGAAAATCGTTCCCCTTCACAATGTGTAACTGGTAGAGTTAGGAAAATCCGCAGGGCCACAAACACATTAGGGAAGATGGACTGTAGACTATTTTTAGCCCGAAAACGATCCTGGTACTGCTTATATTAAATGATCTATGTGGACTCTCTGGGGATTATTTTGAGCAGAGAGGCGCAAAGCTCTGATCGTTGATGTGCTCCAGACAGATGCATCCTGAGAACGGCCGCGGTAACATTATCAAAAGTGTCGCCACCTCAAAAACAAATTTAACACGCAATCGTTTATGTCGGCTCATATCCTTTCATGCTTTCTGTCTTTTATTTGTGTCTGATAGGTTTTGCTGCTGCGGAGCGAGCTCATCACCTGGAGCGCACCGGTGTGCCCGGCGCACAGCGCGCACTCCGCTATTTTTGCGGTCGGTAGATCTTTTAGAACTGCAGTTCAAAGGTAACTTTTGAGGTGAAAATAAGAAGGCAGGTAGCAGTTTTTTTCAGGATTGAAAGGAGATGCAGGAAGATAACAAACAGAGAGGACAGAAAAATAGTCAAGTAAAAACAAGTTCGTTTTTGTACCTGGTTGCAACAAACAGACGCCACTGAAGGTAATCAGAAGTGAGGAACAGAAAATGAAATGGTTCTTTCAATGTTTAGATCAGCAAGAACTCTGAGAGGCTGTAGGCGCATCAGTGAGTTTGCGGCCGCTGCGGAGGGGGAGGGGGGAGAGGGCTGAAGCAGGCAGTAAAGATGCAAAAACTACAGTTGTTAAAAGAGATGTGTGTTAACTTAGAAAATGCGGGCGCAAGTTTAATTACTTGTTAACTTTTTTCTCCAACGTTAAGACTGCTGCATAAAAATAAATACATAAATAAATAAATATAATAAAAAGACTGCTGATCGTGTGGGCCCCCTTGTGGCTGTGGACCCCTGGGCCTGTGCCCGGTTTGCTCATATTATAATCCGGCCTTGCCCAAGGGTCTATTTACATCTTGATTGACACAACATGAACGATTTGCCCTTTTGCTTTGTCACACAGAATTTCTAAGTTCTGGTTGAAAGGCGGGATGTTTAATGAAAATGTGCTTTTCCATCGAAGTGAGACCAAAGTTTGTTTCATTTAATTCAATTCAAGCGATCACTAATGCAACTGCATGAGCAAAAAAAGGGGTGAGGAATGAAAATGCAGTGACGTTTTTAAACTACAGCTTGGATTAAAGCACTGGGTTGTTTGGATTCAATGAAGCGAAAACTAAAAGCTTCTAAAACAACTTAAAGTTTAAAGTTGGACCTGTATGAAAACAAGTGAAACCATTTACACGCTTCATCTTCTACAAACACAATGCCTCTGTAGCTTTTAGACTTGCTTTTACCAGTGAAACGCATTTGCATTCCACACCTCCTCACGCTCAGTTTTTGGTGATGGGTCTGCACCTCTGAGCGTGCTCGTTGTGCTGACGCAGCCCCTGCGACTTGCTCCACTTGTCTGTATAATAGGGGTGTCACCTCGCTGCCGGCATGTAGCTAAAGTCTGTTATGGAGTTTTGTTCCAGTACATTTTTCCTAATCTGTGAGTGCCGTTTTGCATTAGGCTGGGATGGGATGACACGAGAGATTACCAACACATGTTCTCAGGCAGAGAGGAGTCCAAAGAGGGAGGCATGAGCTGACATGCAGAAAAGGGCGCAGACAAATAAACAGTCTGGATTTAATGTAAATGACAGTTTCTACAACGTTTCATCGCCAAATGAAAATTCCCTCATCCAACGTGACCCGCTACTGATGGAGAAAACACTTCACCATATGTTTACTGTACTTGTCGTCTGATTATATTCTGACAACAAAGCGAAGCCTAAAGGTGTTTGTGAATGAGACGCACTGGAGGGAGACTGAGCAGACTTTTTTTTCCCAAAGCGTTCATCATCCTGACTCAATCTGCTCCTGCACTCATTTTGATTTTAATATTTGTGGATTCTGCTTTATTTCTGACATTTTTCTCTCTTTTTCTTCTTCTTTCTCTGTAATTGAATCTGAAACAATGTCAATAAAAGCTGCATTGTTTTCCCTCCCCACCCACCTGCCACAACAAGCCGTTTTTTGTTGTGTCACTGAGTCACAAAGGTACACAACCTCCACTGACACCTCCTCCTCTTTGTCTCTTCCCATCTCCTCTTTGTTATGTGCAGGTGTGTTTCCTGGGAAATGACAGGATGGATTCTGATTCTGAACAATGGCAGGGTCTTGGGCCTGTCTCTGGAGACGTGCTCTGCTAGTTACATAAAAATACGTGTCAGCCATGCTAAGATAAATTATGTTTTTGTTTCCTAAACATGGAAATACTGAAAATGATAAGAAATATAGAACCGAATGAATCATAGATGCTTTTATTTAGTCACGCCTCCGTGTCAGACTAAGACAACCTACGCTAATAAAAATGATGATTACATTAATTTAGGTATAAAGAATCTATCCAAACCAATCTTGCTTTTATTGAAAAAATAATTGACCCCTGAAATTAGTAGCTGACTGTGACACTTGATATCACCAGCTGTATTACTGCAATTGTGATAACTGGAAATGAGTCTTTCACATCGCTGTGGGGGAGTTTCAG